TAGAGAGGAACGAGGCTTGACCAAGAGCTGTGGTGCAGAGATGTACCATGAGTCTGTGAATTAAATGAAGGGCCCTAGAAATGACTTGGAGGAGAGAGTGGAGAGCAGGAATAGATGAAAGAAATTAGGGGGGAAGCCTCTGTGCCTGGCAGGGCATATTGCTGGGAATGAAACCCAAAATCCCTGGCTTAGCATTTTCCTGCTGCCAACAAGCATCCACAAAAATGTTGCTGTAATTCTGGGGCTCCTGGAGAATGGTAACCAATTATTTTAACTATTCTTTTATCTTTGTGACTGAACTTTCGTTTGCTCATTGGTCTGGAGGGTAGGGGCAGGAGAACTGGAGACTGTGCTGAAAGATGGCAATAAAGAACATAACACCACACTGACAGGAAGTCTCAAAATTCAGGTTACCCATGGGATCTGAACTTGCTCCCTTCCCATTTAGAGGTAAGTATAAAGATACAAATCTTTGGTAGTCACATCTTTTCCCTAAAGGATCAGCTCCAAAGTAAACCAAACTGCATTTCTTTGACAAACAGATTTTCTGCATTTTGTCTCATATTTCTCCATGTGGCTCCATGCCTCACTGGCTGCTCATTGATTAATTTCCACTCTGAGTAATGAATTAGCACCTCCTTCTATTTATGTTGTTGATCACTGGAATGCACAAGTATGCATAGATCCACAACAGTAGCAGCTTCTAGTCATGCAGCTCAAACTGCATTTCTTTGACAAACAGATTTTCTGCATTTTGTCTCATATTTCTCCATGTGGCTCCATGCCTCACTGGCTGCTCATTGATTAATTTCCACTCTGAGTAATGAATTAGCACCTCCTTCTATTTATGTTGTTGATCACTGGAATGCACAAGTATGCATAGATCCACAACAGTAGCAGCTTCTAGTCATGCAGCTAAACTTTTTCATTTATTACTTTGAAAATAAAGCTTCATTTCCCAGGTAGCTTGTGTAAAATGTACCCTTATGGGTACAGATTTACAGTCCAAAGATTTGAGAACAAGAATATTCAGAACTCACTTATCTGGATCTCTACTTCTATGAAGCATCTAAGAAGTTGTAAGAAGAAACAGGATTCCAGGAAAATTATGATACAAATAAAAAGAGGGAGACCATCGTTGCCTCACAGGACCTGGAGAGCAAGAAGACAAGACAAGCAAAGCAATATCCATGGAAAGAGAGGCAGAAAAAGATGAAGCTATTAGTTCTACTCTAAGAGCAACTTTTGCTAAGTCCCACTTCAGCATCTATCCATTCGCTCTCCACCACACAGCCACAGAGTTCTGCTCTAATAGCTCCCATCAACAGATCTCAAGAGCTTTTGGTGACTAGCATTAAGAGAAATCCCTACACAGGGAGCTGTATTATCCCCAAGTCATAAAAGAGGGAAACTGAGGCATGAAGCAACCTCATCTCTTCTCTCACCTAAGCAGAGGGTGAGGACTGAAGGTAGAGCTGCTCCTTTGCTTCCTCATCAGAAAAACAATCACCTTGAGTTTTGCTAGAACACAATATTGAGATTCTTGTGTAGTTTCTGTTCTCAGGTGCTGCATTTCTATGGAAACCTTTTTAAGGTAACATAAAAATGCTGAATGCTTTTAAAAACTCCATTTTGCTTACCTACCTTTTACTGCCATAACTGTTTCTATGGAAACTGGAACTGGCCATGCAGCAGTCCTACAACATGAATTCTCACTTGTCAGTTTTACATTAAAGTGCCACCTTCAAAGTCCTTTAATAAACCAGTAATAATTGTGTTGCCTAACGAGTTTTCAAATTACACAAAACAAGAAAGCATCCTTTCACTGAATGCTCTGCACAATGTTTTGTAGGTGTGGTCTAAGAATTTTAACAGTGTGCATGATATGACTCTCTTGGTCAGGGATATAATCTTTAAACAGAGAGACAGTTTATTAGCAGTAAAAGCCCTAGTGTGTGTAGTTAGACTTACATAAAGGTGACTTATACCTATATGGGTATGTCTAGACTGCTGTCACAGAAGCACACTGTAGAGATACTGAGTGAATGGGTAAATCAGCCCACAGTGAGCTCTGTGCTCCCACAGCTCACTGGGGCACTTCTGTGCAGGCATATGCACATGGTATTCCCTGTAGGCATGAGAGGGAATGCTCTCGACCAGAATTAAGTGTTAGTCTGTGTTGGGTGGCTACCATAAAGCATGCAAGCTTAAGACACAACTATTCTGTACAGTTACTCAGAATTAGAATCTGCTTAAATCTAGGCTCCTCCATTAACTTCACCTTAACCTTCCACTTTCGTAAAAACTGCAGGCTCTCTTGTGTTCATTCATCTTCCCCGAGTCAACTCCAGTGAGAAAAATCCTTTAATCCTGTTCTTGGGAGCAATCTCCAACAGAACACCCCACTCCATCACAAGAGTTGTGCATTGCCACTAAGGATCAATTTAAAAACTTGTTCTTTCCAGAGTAACTTCCCTGTGTTTGCTAAGTTCTTCCCACCTCATCTCCAAAGCTTTGCAGTTTATTGGTGCTTTTAAATTGCAACTGGGGCAGGACTGAAGCAGACACAAGTGTTTGCCCTCTCTACCTCCAAACATAGAAAATCCGTGGACATGGATTTAGGCAAACTTTATACCAAAACACATGTCAAACGCAGGAAGTGCAGCATCAAAATTGGAGGCAACAGAAGTTACATGTGTGACTATACAAACTGCAAAACACAAAGACGTAATTCTATTTTGGTATGAATTTATTTCAAAGAGATCCTAAAGAGCAACATGATTTCCAAACTCTCTTCCTCCCAAAACTCATCCAGCCCACACACTTGGCTGACATCCTCAGGAGAACCAGGGTCTTTCTTCTAACTTAAGAGAGGAGATCACCTTTCCCACTGAGCTAGCAGTATTCCTTTAACCCTTTACCAGAAAAATGAGCTTCTACTAATACAGAACATTTCAAGAAAATGATTCAGCCAATCTCTCAAATTAGATGCCATACTCATCAACATGGTCCAAGACACCACATAATTTTCTTTAAAATACCCTCAAACTCGTGTCAAATAGGCAACTTAACCATATGTACTACTTCATTATGGACAAGTCCTGAAGTTTGAATTTAGGAATCAATATTCCAAGTTATTTCTTGCATAGATAGCCTTTGCTTTTAAGCATCACTTCAAACTGATCAGTAACCAAAGCAGGAATTTAAAAAGCAAATCTCTCTGGTGGCCAACCAGACCTTTCCATAGGCATAAATTAAAGTTGCAATTCCCTTCAGTACCACTTAAGTCAGAATCTGACTTCTTTCCTTGATTTACAGAGATGTTCATGGGGAGAAGGAAAGGGGGGAAGGGGTGGGGAGGTAGGGAACAAACACTCTACAATTCCTTCTTAATCCTCTTCTATTTCCTTCTGCATAGGCACATCCTTCAGCACCTGACTAGAAGATACCCAACTCAAAGCAGCAACAGTGTGAGGAATAGAGCAGCCTGCAAGGAATCCTACTATTGAGTCCTGCAGCAAGTAGGGAATTTACAGCAAATGAATGATTCATACATAGTTTTCTACTATGAACAAACGTAACATCCCTTTAAGGCCAGAGTTTTCCACAGGCCTCTGAATGCAAATGCCAAATATTTTGTCATGCCTTTCTCTTAGTCTATATCTCACTGCAGCCAGGGCTTGGAATGAGGCATATAATATAACAAACCAGAGACCTGGCACACATGGGGCTACTTACTGGCTTTCTTCATGCATATGGTTTATTTTTCCCTGCTATGTCAATCCTTATAGGGCTTTACCACTACATCTGCCTCCTGGGAGTCTGCTATTTTGACTGTTACAGGGAAGGTGCAGAGGAAAAAAAGAAAGATACATGCAATCCTTTCTACTTTTTTCAAGTTAAAGGTCTCACCTCCACACCATTAATTAAACAGATTAATTAAACAGACAAGCCCCTGCAGCAGCAAGCCCTCTCTAAGGATAAATACTGAACAGCTTTGGGCTTTGAACTGTTGCACGTAACAGAGTTGTGATTATTCTAGATCAAACGTCTTCCATGGTAACCTTCTTTAGGTCAGTGCTGTTTTGTCAATGTCTTGTGTTCCTCTGCAAGCACAGACATAGACAGTATTTTACCCCAAAAGTTGACAAAGAATAGAGGACAAAAGGCAACAAGCAGTATGGAGATTACAGTGGGTCTTGATGGCTTTTGTATTTTCTTTTCTAAAGCATCTTATTTATGTTTTACCATTTGTGATGTAGGAAACAACATAAAAACAAACAGAAAAATAGTGGCTGATTTTGAGAATTCTGGTCTGAACAGAATCCACAACACACATCAGCAGCACACATGGCAGCCAGGGGAATGCAGATATGCTTGATAGGCAGTGGGCAAGGCTGCAGGATGGGGAAGGGGCACAGGACCCCATTCCTGAATATTACTTTCCAGAGAAAGGTGAGAACTGCTTTAGCAGTGGGAAAGCTGTGCAGATTGAGGAATACATATTCACAGACATAGGTACACCAGCAGTGCCAGGAAGGACTGGCAAATCTTTTTGTTTGTGTGTCCTTTCTCTAGCTCTTAAAAAGTTTACATAAAAAGAAAGATCCCCAGCTACTACCATATGAAAGCTCACAAGACCAGACTTTGAGACAGAAAAATGAGTCCTGATGTGGCTACTGCTGTACACAGTGCCCCTTACCAGTGACTTTTCTTTAGGGCCCACTGGATGTAAATGTGAGAATGATCAATGTCTCATTTTACTGCAAGGAAAGAGCCCAGTTTCTTTTCCAGTTCACCTGCTGTATCAGAATGTCCAGAGTCAGTTTGATACAACTTTCACTAGGAATAGCAAGGAAGTCAGCAAGACAAAATCTGGACAAAAACAGCATTTGGAGAATCTGGATCATAGCAGCTAATATCAGCTTTTCAGGGTCACTCAACCTCTCCTTCTTCCCTCTTCCTGAATGGATCAGAATGAATGTATCTATCTCTTCTCTTTAAAATGCCATATAATATCCTTCCATAGTGCTGACAATATCACTGTTACTCTCCAGCAGTTCCAAGACACGGTGCACCACCACTTCAGCCAGAGAGGGGTTGTAGCTCTGCTGAACACAGCTCAGGACATGGAGGAAATGGCATCCTTTTTCAGCATCTGCAGAGAAAAATGGTAAATGCAGCCAGGCATGGAGGTAAGACTTCAATCCAACTGCCTCTGTTGAACTATTATAATCCAGGTTAATCATGAAACAAACCACAGCTGTTGGAGAGAAAGAACACCCAGACACTAAAGCAGAGATGTGTGTATCCAGAGAGAAGAGATCCAGTCTGTGCCTACAGTTCTCCAATTGTCAACTGTAACCACTGACTTTTCTGGGAAGTGTCAGGGCTGTAACAGTAGTAATAAAGGTGAAAGATAAATGAGTCTTGCTAACTCTAACGTACAGGGCTCGTTCAGTATAACTTGATGATGAGGTTAATAACACAAGGATACCTCCACTGCCCACCTATGCCAGCCATGCAAGTTTCTGCAGCTTCAGAAAGAACCAAATGAAAATCATTTTGCTCACAGCCAACTTCAAAATCGTCAAGCAGAGCAGGGAGGTGTGTGGCCAGGACCTATCACTGCTTGCCCAACGCTGGCATCTTGTGGAAGAACTGCTACAGTGCAACTTCCATTCACCTCACAAAGAGATCCTAGCCCTGCCCTTTAGACTGCTCAGACAATTACGGGAGCGGAAAGTCACAGAGCTTCAGTATCAGATTTTATCTCCTTTTAAGAAGAATTAGCCCTGAAACATAAAAGAGAACAGAAGTTTTAAAATAACCTCATTTCCTAGAGGGCAAGCACAGAGATCCCTAATGGCTGCATGGAGCTACTGTGTGCTAGGTGAAGCCATTGTTTGAAGCTGTCCCAGTCAACATTTCCTCCAACTGACCCTGTAACCCACTAATCTTCAGTGCTGCAGGCTCACAGGCCCCCCAGGTGCTGAACTCCACAACAGATTTCTCCTCGGTAGCTAACAGTAAAAAATTGGCATAAATGAGACACATCAGCATAAATTATTTTCCTTCTCAGTTCACGTGGTGAAAGGCAAGTTTGATAAGGGTACTGAGAAACCGCCATGGGCCAGGGAGGTCCCTACATTTTGTTGTTGCTGCCTTAGTTTTTATTTTTGCCAATCTCCACTACTACTTTAGAAGTCAGTGATCCAGTGTGATAAATTGCCTTTGTGGCTGGTAGACGAAAATATGTCCACCACCCTAGGTAGGATAAGTGCAGAGAACAAACACTGCCTCTACCTGGTTATAGTGACTGTTGTTGCAAACAAAGTGGGTAGCTGCATTTTGCATTTGTCATAACAAGGTCAAAGTGCCCATCCCTGATCTACAGTAACTTCAGTCTGTATGAGTTAGATTAGTGACTCAAGTATTACCCAACAGTACAGTACAAACTTTCCTCCTTAGATGCTAGCAGAAAGTGGCACTTTGGGGTAGCTGTAGATGTGTACAATGATCAAGTAATCCAGAAACACTCCTAGTCTACAGCTCAGTTTCAAGGCAATACACTCCTAGCAGTGGAGTCCTGCTGTCCCTTTGTCACCGATATTCTGGGTTCCAGCTGCTGAGGTAAGCCAGGCTGTGACTGACTGTCATGCTGACTACCAGCATCAGAGAGTACAGTTACAGAACAACTACCCACTTGCCCACTGTGGACATTGCACACAGGGTACATTCTAACATATCAAATTTAACTGCAAGTGGTTCTGGGGTTTGTTCTCTCTACTGGCCTAAGCCTAAAACCAGAGTGCATTTATAAAAATTTTTATAAAGGAAAAAAATAAATCCATTGCAGTTCAGTTTAGAGTCAAAATGTCCTGGCTATCTTCAGCTTCTAGATAGACCCGCAGTGGCCTCGCATGAGGGCTTTTGAGATCAGGCTCTTTCAAATTATATATGGAGCCAAGGACTAGGATTGCCCTGTAGGCACAGTATGGATCAGGGTTTGTGGAGCTCTGAGTAGGCACACTAAAGAATTTTTTTATTTGCACAATGGTTCCAGACAGTTGGGTTGGGCCTGAGAACATGTCACAACTAAAGCAAAGGGGTGAGGCGTTGCCTCAAAAACTGGCAGAGAAATAATTCACTAGAGAGAAGGGTTTGTTTATCATAAATCAGCCTTCATGTCGTGAATAATTACTATCACTCTTGAAGGAAAATGGGTAGGAATTTATTGCAACAAACAAGCAAAAGCCCTTGAGGCATATGGCTATGTCCCTATTGTATCCCTATGAGCTGCACACCATGGCAAGTCAAGCAGGCAGCCAGGACTGCCCTGCCACCAGCAGAGGGGAGCCAGCAACCACACTGAGCTCTGCTCTCCTGCATCAGGCAGTGACAATATCCACAGAGCCCTGGTGGTTTCGATTGGAGCTTCTTGACTTTTCTTCTACTACCAGTGCCCAGGACATGGAACTGTTCCTTCTGAAAACCAGCAAAGGGACACTGACCTGGAAATTGTCCTCTGCACAGAAGGAAACTAAGTAGGTGGAAAGCTTCGAGGAGAACAAGAGGCTCTGAAAAGCAGTTGCTAATTTTAACCTGCTCAGTATGGAAAATATGGCTTTGAGGGCTCAGGGCTCTTAGAAGTCTTTTCTGTGACTGAACTACAAATTCCTCTCTGCTGTTAACTCTTCCAAACTGAGAGAAAGAACTTCCCAACCTCTCATGGATCACAGAGTACTTCACCAGTGTGACAATTCACAAGAGGGGAGCAAACACCAGGCAGTCACTCAGTGCCCTGGGTCAACTGTATACAGGTTCTGGCCCTTATAGTGACACAGGTACATTAAAAAAAACAGGCTAACAGGAGATCTAGCTGATATATAAAATGGGCAGAGGAATGATTTGACTCTTAAAGAGATAATGTTTGTATTTGTTAATAGGATAAAGGACAAGAAAGCAATGTGACACAATAATTTGTTGCACTGAAACAGCCACAGGAAAATGAGCCTGTCTTAACCTGCATGACCAGTAAACTCTATTCCCTCCATCCCCCAAAGATACAGAACTTTTGCCTCCACTGCAAACCTTATCTACAATTGTACCACTTCTTAGGATAGTCAGTTGAAAACTCAAACATAATACTGCTTCATTTAGCCTTTTTTCACTGCAGGATAACCATCATGCACCAGGTCCTACAAGCACTATTATAGTTATGATAGTATAAGGATGTGAGCAATTCAAGATTATATGCCTTCTGTTCCAGTCAGTCATTTATTCTGTACTAAAGCACATGCTACTGCACAAATAGCTGCACTCCAGCAGCAAGTGAACCCTGCTGACACATTCTGCCCTATGAATTGAAAGACACACTGTAGCAAGGTACCTGTGTAATTAGCAGACATTCAAGTTAAGCACAAGCTGTCTCTATGGCAATAAGACACAACAGGCTCGAGGGACAGGGATAACTCAGAAGCCACACGAGGTGCATTATCTGAAAAGAAGTGGACTGTGTTTGACTGCAATCCCTACCTGCAAAGAACAACCACCTGAGCTCTACCTGAGCGTAAAATCTACAGAAAATATTCTACTGACTTAAGTAAGTTTTATTGTTGACTTAATTGGGGCAGGGATTTCACCTTTCTGCACTGTCACTTTTGTGTCAACTCCCCTGTAGAAACTGAACCAGCAAGATTTGCTACTTCTCCACAGCTGCTAGGTGGTGACCTAACTTCATTACATTTGGTTCCTCCCAAAATCTAAGCATTCTCAAAAGATACAGATCTAAGATAATGGCTGCTTGTTTCAGATCCAAGAGGTTTGCTTCCTGCTGGGCACACCTGCTCTTTCTCTATACTCAGAGAAAGCTGCTCCTGCACTCCTGCTTTTAGCTATACTGATGAGCTACACCAGCAACAGCTCAAAGTTCAAGGGTAAGGACAAGCAGCATATCCAATCCAGCAGCAGGAGGAGGTATTATCAGTATATCAGCACCAGCTCATCAGAGCCCTGATCACTCTGCTACTTACGCCTGGGCTTTCGACAGTCTTCTTTAATCACATCAAGGGTCACCTTAAGCAGCTCCTTATCATGGTCAGTCACCTGGCGAAAAAAAAGAAGAAACTGGCATTTTCCAGCAGTCTCTTTCACAGTAGATGGCCTGGCTGTTGGAAAGCAACCCAAGGCCATGATGTGTTCTAAGCTAACAGTGTCATAACTACTTTCTGCATTATATACTGCCCCAAGATTAGTAATGAACCTCAAATCTTCGGTTATTATTTTCACTACTATTAGCAGCATCCATGAGTCAGGTGAAGAACATGATACAACAGAATTCAACCCAAAGGAGAGTGACTGACTCAGTAGAACACCAAGCTTCAGCCCACTTCAATAAGGAGAACTGTTCCAGGTCACAGATTTCAGTGAGTTCAGCTGCATCAGCACAGTTTGGCAACCCAGGGAACACAGACTGAACTTGGACAACAACTCAGTGGGTGATAGAGAGGTAAAACCAACAATGAAGTAAACTGCAGTACTTCTGAGTAAACAGGGAGCACTTGGATGTCCAGCTTCTCTTTCTGAAACATTTCTACTATTCCTACAATATTTCTACTGTTTCTACTGACCTAAAAATCATACCCTGACTTTGTTTGCAACCACAGATTAGTTTCTTACGTAGTACAAGTCCTTGGAGCTACTAGGTTTCTGGAAAACCACTCCTTTGTCTTGTAGCATCTTTATTGCTTCCTTAAAAGCACTGTGAATCCTTTTGGAACTGGAGTTACTTTTTGACTTCACCTGGATGGGAAGAAAGGAATGAAGCAGATCGTGAGAGATCTCAACTCAAGTTACCAGCTAAAGCTCCAGAAGCTTTCAAGAGAAAGGTCCTCTTTAATGTGAATTTTGTTACACATTTTTCTTCATTTAGTAATTCACAAATCATATCTGTTATGTATGAACCAACCAATATCCCTGAGCTTTAAACAAGACCCAAACACCGGAGGCTTGTGCCATTCTTTAGGAACCGCAATCTCTAAACTTCCATCTTTGTATTTAGCTGCTATTTGCTTATGTACTGAGAACTCTTTTTTGGGATAGGATTGTGATGCTTGCAGAGCATTTGACTATTTAGCTAATCAAGTTTTGTTCACATTCAGAGTTTTCCTGGTAATGAGGGTAGGAAGATAGGAAGATCAGTGTTTTGTAAGGTGATACTCAGAAGGAATCCAAGTGCTGAGGACTGGATTCCCATCTCCTGATTTCAAACAGGGAAAGAAGAAAATTGACAAGGACAGTATTTGTTTCATGACCCCTTCATTTCCAAATTTTTGCAAACATTCTGCTCATTCTCTCAGGAGCTTCTTCATAGCCTAATGAAATGAAAGGATAAAGAACATGCATTAAGAAATTAAGACAAGTGTATGAGATAAAGGAATAAAGGATTCTGTTTTGAGGGCAGGTAGGAAATGAGTTTCTTAAGAAAGAACAGTGTGCCTGGAAATCCATAACTGAGGAGGTTATATAGAACACAGGGCTCTGTGTCTGGGACACATCTAACAGAGTAAGAAGGAAGGAAGGAGGAGAAGGAAAAAACCCAGGGGAAAACAGGATTTGTTTGGAAGTAGAGCAGAGTTAAGACAGTGGAATGACAGAGAGGGAAGTAGAAGGAAATAAAGTATCAGTTGTGGAGAGGGGAAAGTGTGGGTATATAAAAGCAAGACCATGATTTACTCTTCTCCATCTCCATCTGTCCTACCATGTCCTGCAACCTTCCATTCATCTACACAGACTGTTTCAGTTCCCCAATTGTTGTTTTCTCATCTGTTGGAAGCACACTGTGCTCCCTGTGGTTTTCTTTAACAAGAAAGCTAAACTGCTTCCCACAAACCAACATGTGATAAGGAGCACCACACCAGAGCAACCAAAGCAAGATTTGCCAAGCCATTTCTTCAACTACCACCATAAATGCTCCCACCCTGTTCTGAACAAAGGTTTCAGCCTTCACAAATCCTATTTCACTCCCCAGAAGCATGCACAGAAGCCCTGGGAATGAAGCAGGTAACCACTACACACTCGAATGAATTCATGTGAATATAACCACGCGAGCAATGGAAGAGTATCTTCACACAAAACATTCATTCAATACGTTTGCAATTCTCAAGTGACATTCCAGCTGATTCTAAGCCTGGAAGCTGATGTGCCTAACTGGGAATAGCGCAGAAATCCAAAAGGGATAGTGCATCACAAGTTTCTCCAGCCTCTTCACCATATCAACAGGCCATAATCACATCTCTCTCTGTCCCACAACAAGTAACTCTCTTTTTCCTCTCAAATCAACAGTAAAAACTAATTGCCAAATAGTTCCATGTAATAATTATTCTAGAACAAAGGTTATTATTCTCAGTTCAGTTTTTTCTGTTTCAGACTGAAGGACTTCAGTGCCCTGAAAGTTTTCTGTCCACCACAGCGATCAGTTTGCATAACAACAGAATCTACTTCTAATTACAAATTTGACCATACTTCTGGACAGGATTCCAGTCATGGCATTAATACCACTACCTTATTTCTCTTCATAGTGCTTCTTCTGATGAACTAAAGAGAAAAATATAAAATGTAACAGGAAGTGAAGAGTGAATATTTTCTCATGGGAAACCATATTCTCATAGCCACATGTAAAATGAAGAGACTTTGCCTCTCACTCAAATGCAGAAATAAATCCTCAAGAATGTGAGAAATTGCTAGCAAAGCAACCAGCTCAAGACTCTGATCAATTTTTAATGTGAAAGCAAACATTTGGGGAGAAAAATGATAAAAATATCTCCAAAGAAGCACAATAATTATTCAGTTTGGCTTAACAGTGAGATCTTGTCAGAAAAGGGAGATAATTAAAAACAGACTCTGTGTGAACTGACACACAGCTCAGCCTGGATGGATACTGAAACAGAATCACTAAGAATGCAAGTCAAGGCATTGACAGGGTGAAGGCAGGGAGGCCTTATAATAAGTAAGCAGCTGCTACATATCAGCGCCCTCTCATATGTGCTGCAAAGTCCAAGGGAAAGGGCTCCATGGCAGGACTGTTCCTGAAGAACAAATGAGAGCTTCTGCACACTTTAATATTATCATATTATATATTAATATAATATTATCATGAAATGACAGGAAAAGTTTGGGGTTTTTCCTAGTATGCTCTAGAACATGCTTTCTCCTCTCCATTCCTCTGGGTAAAGCAACAACTGAGTTGCTTTTTTGAACACAGTCTAAAATTGCTTAGTCTGTTCTTTTGCTCCACCCAAAGCACCTCCAGCATCTCATCCTGCAAACTGGTAAGTCAACAGTACTTCTTCCCAATACCTTATCACTTTTTCTTATGCCAAACTGGCCCCTGATTTCCTCTGGACTTGGATCTTGCTCCGAGCCAATGTACACCTAAGTTTGTGATTTAGTTTACTGAGTAGATATCTGCAGGGGACTGAACATGAGGCTATACACAGAGAAGACATTTAGGACTATGAAATCCTGTGTGATTTCACATCCCTGGTTTTACTTCAGGAGGAGATTGGAAAATGCTTGCATTTCAACAGTTATAAAGATGTATTATAGCCATTAGCATAGTTCCTTCCGAGTCACAGCTTATTAGCCATCACTTTACTTTTATAAAGCTTTCATCTCACAGATGTTAAGTAGTTTAGCTGCTGATCCAAAGCATCAGCAAGATTTGAATCTGAATTTCAAATGTACTTCTCACAATGTTCACACCTCTGCATTTTTGCAAAGTGCCCCCTTGGGCATGCCTTAGTTTCAGGGTGCACCATGTCAGGTTCTCTATAGTACTAACAGCAGGGGCTTCCCCCCTCTCCCAAATCATGTCCTTTCAAATAAATTAAGCTGCACACCACAGGAGCATTCAGAAATCATTCATCGCTTTTGCAAAATGTGTGTGTGTGTCCTGAGATAGAAGCAGCTATTAAATAATAATTTTACCATCACTACCCTCACTCCCAAGACCAGCCAAGGACTCTGTAGCAAAGCCAACAGAAGAATCTATGTCTCCAGCATTAAGTTGGTATTTTAGTCAATATATTCCATCTGATGAGTCTTGCACAGCTTAGTGGGCTGATGCTGTGCAACCAGTTATTCTCAGATCTTTAAAACAAGACAAACTCTCTGTACAATCAATAACAGGTCAGAGACTGAAGTGGTACAGGAATTAGTCAGTCTGTTCAAAACACTGAAAGCATGTAACCTTTGACTCATTATGAATCACAACACACCCTGATGATGTTAAAGTTTCCTGGTATAACCACACACGTGGTTCTACCCGTGGAATCACCCTTGCAATTTCTCCTGCAACATTTAATCCTTGGTTTAGGCAGGTGACAATTTCAGTAATAGTGATTCTGGACATGTCAGTCCTGATGTCCTATAATAAGCTTTGCAATATACATATTTAAAGCAGCAGCGAAGCCTCCTCAAGAGGCAGAAAGACAAGCACATAGCAGCAAAAACATAAATGCACAACACCTACAATACAATGTACAGGGTATATACAGTGTGAGCAACACTGTAAAACTCCCTGCTTTAACTACTTGTCAGTGCTGACCTTGAGATAACATTCAAATCAAGAGAAGTACAAACAGCACACTCTGGAAAGCAAAACTCAAGTTACGTGTCCAAGCTAGTGACATAAACAGACTGGAATGGTAACACTAAAATAGCAAACTATAAAACACACTATATGTGATGCATGGAAGAAGTGCCTTAAAATGGCTATTCAATACTGGCTGGTTGCAAGTATTTAATCCAGCTGAGAAAATGAATGGATCCAGTTCACATGTAGAGTTTTCTTTGAAAAGGGAACCTAAGGCTTCTCCATTTGCCAAACATAACTGCCTACGTCTGGCAAGTACACTCTCGAGGTTCTCTAAGCACAAAATTACTTTATCTGGTTTTGCTTGTAGTCTTCCTTCTGGTACCCACCCCTCCAGTCTCAAAATTCAGTTGTTTCAAGGGATAAGGAAAAGGCTGAAGCTTAGGGACAGAAGGGACACTGACTATGTGAAATAAAGCTCCACTGGCCCTAAAAATCACAACAGATTTGTGAATTTTTAACTATTTTTAAAAACACCAAACCTTCCAGTTCTCGTGCCCACTCTCTGTAGACTATAAAATTAAATTCCCCCTAGCATAAGCTTGAGAAGACAAGGTGATTTGAGTTCTGCCATGTGCATATGCTGGAGGGAAATTTATTCTGGAGAACCAGAAGACTGCACTGCTGGGGATCCATTAGAACTGGAACTAGGTATTGTAGGACATGTGTGGGATGTGTAGTTGCTGAAAAGAAACAGAGAGATATTGCCTACCTCAAGCTATCCCAGCTACCTCCTTCCATCTCTACCCACTGCTCCACTCCACTGGCAGTGATGCCACAGCAGCTCACCATCTCCCTGGAAAAAGTATTCCATGGGGAAATACCCTCCCACTATGATGAACATTGCAAGTACTTTAAAAGTTGGGAAGGAGATGAAGGGGGTACAGCACATCTCCTGGGATCACAGGGAAAGGAAAAGAAAGGCAAAAAATAGTTTAGCAGCAACTGTGCTCTAGAACACTGAAATCAGGATTTTAAAAAAACAGTTATACATTCAAATAACTCATCCTTTCACATCCAGGAGAAGTGCAAGAAGTGAACAAGTGTGCACATTGTGGTGTGGCCTAATTAGTTCGGTCCATTCATCCAGCTCCTGCCCTGCCAAGTAGGAATGAAATAACACTGTTCCACATCAGCAACACCATTTATCCTTTTGGTTTGAGGGCAAAGGAAAACAGAAGACTACAAAAGTGGAAAGAAAGGAACAGGGACAGAAATCAGATCCATTACATTTATTTTAGTGGCTCAAACTGGGTACTTGACCCATTGCAATTATGAGAAGTGACACCTTCTAGACACAGAGTAGAGGAACAACAAAATGCAACTCCAGAGCATTACTAGGGACTTCTCTCAAGGCATTAAGGCTACTTCACAACTGCAACTTCTGCAAAGACAAATAAACCTCTTTGAAAGAAATGAACACCAATGGGCAATAGAGAGAACTTCAATTTCTAAATAAGCATCTGTGTGCCCAAATTCCTGGGACATATACTCACACCCTTGAATCACGGTCAGGAGAAACTATTAATTATTATGATAGCTCTTCACGACTGCTAACCACAGTGATGCTACTTTGTTTTTCTTGGTTTGGGTTGTTTTGATCAGGGTTTCTTTTGGTTGGTTGGATTTTTGTTTGGTTTGAGTTTTGTGGGGGCAGGTCGAGCATTTCTATATTTGTTCTGTACCAGTTCCTACTTTAAATGGCTTTGCAAGTTATTTATCTTGATCTTTTTATAAATGCTGAAACTTCTAAGATGGAAGCTTCCAGCATTGGTCACAATCACCACTATTTCCCTTAATGTCAGGTGTTTGGGAATGTGTTCTAAACTGCTCCAGCTAGTTTAGAAAGTACCCTGTCCCATGCTGGATAATCTAGTATCAAACTTTTCTGTCAAAACTGAGAATAGCTCCTGTCAGTGTTAATATCAATGTTTGGTTTAAAGCAAACTGAAAAAAAACGCATTGAAAAACCCAAACACACACACCCCTCCATCTATCCGGAAGCAGCTATCAGCAGCAGTTCAACAAGGCTACTTTTCATTATTATTCAACTTCATCTACAAGGGACTGTTTTTTGTGTTGTCTTTGGGATTTTTTTAAAGAATTAAACAAACATCAGAAGTCAACATAACATAGCACTTAACATTATGGTACACATCAAAATCAAGCAGTGAAAATGACTGCCAGGGGTTTATTTCTCTACAGAAAACTGGAAAGTAAACACGTGAGTCAAAACACTCGGGTTAAGTTTCAGTTGTCGTTACTATCATGGTCAAAGACGTAACTGTTAGTTTTGCAGAAATTTACTACTTCAAACCAGTTGAGAATCTGGTTTGTAATCTATGCAACTAACACAGAGTAATATAAAGCCATTTTACAAAATTGTTTTTGTTCTGCTTCCCATCCTGCAGTTGATCAAGAACATATTAATCCACTGGAAAGTTTCTTAACAGTTTGGTTACATGCAACTGCCTGTGAACTGATTTCAGTTTAATCTCACCTTCTGATTCTTTCCATCATGACCTTTCACAACTAGGGATTTCCAACAAGAGAAACATGTAGCAGGGAGCACTGTTCATCCACTCATCATAACCTTCTTTTGAAAGCTACACCTCTACTAATGTACTGAGCTTCAAAAGAGAAACAAGACAAAGACTTTTTCTCCCTTCTCCTGATCAAATGCAGCATCTCAAACATCTGTCCCAAAGAGCTTAAGCACCTTAAAATTATATTCATTTCTGACACTGTCACCATTTACAAACCTAAATAAGGCACTGCCTGTTGCAGGCTGCAAAGTTGCCTAGCCCTAACCCAAGATTACTCCTAACAACATAATATTCTTTCATGGCTTTCTCCAGCCCCATTTTATGTCTCAAATGACAAGGTTTCCTCAAGCTCTGTAAATAATTCATGCATAAAGCTAAAGCACCTGTGGTTTTTGAATACTCTGAAGACACTACTCTCTTACCTGTTTGTTTATGCTTTAAAAATGTACACGGTATTATCTCCCCCCACTAAAAACGTGGAATAGGTATATTCACTCACCTCCTGACAGCTGGAGCTGGGTGGATGCACTCCAGCCAGTGACACCAGGGTATCAATTGTTTCCAGCTCCTGCTGGTAAAAGGTCTGAATTCGGTTTTCTAGTAGGAAGCCTTGCATTTTCTCATGCAGCGTATGGATTGAAATATTCTGGCCACTACAAGGATACAAAGAACATGTCAAAAGGTAAGAAATGTTTTTTAGAACAATTACCTAGAGTCAGCTCACTAGACTGGTTTTCAAAGGTCAGAAAGTATTTTACCGTCCTCAAAGAATCTGACTTCAAATCCTTAATTAAACCATTTTTACATGCAATAAATGTTCAACTCTTCCTCTTCAAACATTTGCTGTAACAGTGTTGTGATTTTAAGACCTGCAGTCACTTAAACCACACCACATGCATCAGACCTGCCAATATGCATCCACCTATCCTTAACCTGAATACAGCAATGGGTGTTTGACTCAGTTTATCGAGGTTATGTATTTGTGATTTGACAATGAAGCAGAAGTTGAGAGCATTTCAATGGAATAGCTTCTTATCCTTACATATAAAACAAAATCAGGCAAGGACACTTCTCCATCGACTCTGCTGACCTCAGCCCTAAAACTTGCTCAAAACCTCATATCTTTTCACTAGGTGTAGGAGGTCTGTACACAGTATTTTACTACTTTCCTAATATTCACTTTGGTTCAGCGTTATATTTCTTTTCTCATATTATGGACAGGTATCTCATCTGTTTGGACCATCAATTGTTTGGGAGAAAAGCAGACTGCTACTATATGTTTATGCAGATAATAAATCACGGTTAAAGCCTGTTCTATCTTTCTCCACAGTTATCATCATAACAAATAAACAATTACAAAATCCCACACTTTGCCCCAAGATGAGTCTGGATACTGCATTTACCTCTGTCCTTCCTCAGGGCATTGGAAAGGTTTATCATAAACTTCTCTATAGAGACAGGGGAGCTCCAGCATTCTTGAAATCTGAACATCATACACAGGATCATCCACTTTATCTGGAGTGGGACAAAGAACACACAGACTTGGCCAGGGCTGCCATACCAATTTTTTAAACAAGCAAACCTAAGGCAGCACAACAGAGCTTCACAGCCAGTATTAAACTGGCAGATTTCGTTCACTGCTTCTTTAATAAAAACAAAACCACAAATGCCACTCCTTCTTTCAAGTTTACAAGGAGGTAAACAGCCTGTTGTGATGCATTGCAGCTTATGCTTTTGTCTGACGACTTATTTAACCAGAATTTATGGTCTCTATTTTACCTTTCAGCAGCCATTATCCATTAAACAAAGCTAACGCACAGTAAGAAGCTTTATTTGGACCAAAGTGAAAGCAATTTAGAGGCTATTCGAATTGCGTGGCTCCCTTTGGTATTATTGTCAGCCTTTGAATGGGTTATATAATCATAAATCTCCTGTCTGCAAAGGAATTTTGAATTCCCTCTCAAATTCCAGCTAGAGCTGAAAAATCCAGAGGGTTTTTTGAAAAGACAGGCTTCTTCCCACCAAAGAAATAATGTCAGTATTATCTGCGAAAGACTTCACTGGGGAAAACCAACTCTTACACAACAGCACAGATGTGGAACAGAGAAGTTATGTAACTGAAAGATCTGAGGGTATAAACAGTGGACTGCAGAGCCCAAGGAGCTGTCAGGTGCAGAGGCAGCACCTGCATGCAGATCTGTGCCCGAGTGACTGAAGACAAGGAACACTTCTCAGTCACTCTGCAGAGCCAGGGAGTTTAGGAGGATCTGGGATTCAGTGGAACACTGTGCCCACATGCTGTTGCCTGTCCATGGAAGGGACTGCACAGGCTGTGACAAACAACAGTCATTTCTCCAAAACACCTAACACCCCTGATGAAGTGGGACATAAGAGATCCCCAAGCTCCCTTCCCATGGGCTTTGGCTGGTCTACTTCAACACAAAGAAATGTGGCAAGCAAGTCACTCTAGCTGATACCAAACCACAGTGTCTGCATAGTATTCTTATATGCTTGCTTGTCATCTTTCACAATTTTTCTAGGAATTTGCAGGCAATCTAATCCCACATTAAGCAGTGTGGCTTCTAACCTCACACTGCTTCAACTGAAATAAAGATATACAGATGAAAACCTCTTTAGAAGAATGCGATGCCAGAAAATAAAGTGGAAAATATTCAATTCATTACATACAGTTTAGATATTTTCAGATTCAGGCAACTGAGTTAGTTACATAGGTCACAGATTCCTAACACTCACAAAAACATGAAGCATGAATTTCTCTTTGTTGCCTATAGGTTCGGATGTGACCTCTGACCCTGATGACATCCCCGATCTCCAGCTTGGTTTTCTGGCTCACTGCTTCTTGGAGTTTCTTCATCTGTTCAAGCACAGTAAGATTGCTGAGCATGCTTGGATGACCTACAAGAAATGAGGGAAGGGAGATCTGTCATTAAAGTCTAGAGGACTGTCCTTTTGTGTTCATCCACCTAAGCATCATGGGAGTCATAGTATTAAAAAAGGGGTAAGGTCCCAGGCACCATGTGTCCTGGGTAGCAAAACCTTTGGGTCACAAACTTTGCAGTATTATATATATTTGAGAAGTTCACCTGGGGAATGTATAAAAGGAAGAAGATATTGATTTAACACTGAAAATGTCATAGATAGGTTGCAAAATCAAAACATTAATTTGGAATGCTTTTTGTCACTGTTTGATCTAAAGTGGAAGAGAGGAGAACTGAACATTTTACATAAAAGAAGAATGAGTCATCTGAGGTGGGTCCAAAGCTTTCATGAGATGCCATTTGATGTCTACACTGAGGTGAATGCAGCTTGTCAGAACTTCACATTTATGTAACACACCTTTGGAGAACAATAAATTCTTCATAACTCAAAACCTGATTAATAACCCAAGTATTCCTCATCACAACTATAGAAGGCTGGATGAAAGCTTCCTGTGCCCTCTAGGAGCTTTCTCTAGAAGGTAGAAATGCATTAATTTCCATTATTGACATAGTGTTCATCCAAGCACTACTGCTATAAAATAAAAACTCATGGCTGAAACAAGCCCTCTTGGCCCTCATTCTGTTTCAAGCAGTATTTCATGCACTACCTTTTAATGAATTTAAGGTCCTCACAAAAAAACTGATTTGGCTGTGTCTCCCTTATGCTAATATTTTTTGGAAAGCTGTGTCTGAACATTACCTCTCTAACATGAGAGCTGTCTTCTAGGTTCCAGCTGGGATTGTTTGTATCACTTGTCATATCATTGTTAAATGTAAGTATGAACTGTCTGTCTGTATCAATGGGCTTGTTCTACAGACATCAGAGTTTTTAACTTTTACATCAAGCTTTCCTTTCTCCATTCTATGCCTATGTATTCCCAACACTGCAGATGACACTAGTAACATTTATTTCAGAAGGATTTGATCAGCTCCATACTAGAGTTGTCAGTCTACTACATAGGCTTCCACAAAGATCCAAAGTAGAAAGCATTCTGCTCTTTGATCTGTATGAAGCACTGGGAGGAAAAGCAAAGAGAAAGCCAGACATGAGTGAGTTGTTCTGTTAGTGAGTGCAATAATAGATTCATTTCAAATGCACAATTACTGCATGTTTAGGACTTTCCCAAATTGTGAAAGGCTGCTGGCATCCTCCCACAGTGTTTTAAGCTACTTTCAAGTTAATTGCTAACTGTATATGTATGAGCAGGAGAATATGAATACAAACAAAGTGAAACCACTGCATGGCAAGTGCAGGCCAATGGATTTACTTTGGAAACAGAAGTTGTGGCACATTTCCAGCCTAGTCCCTCACTAGATGAAGTCACCAAAAGCACTGCAAGAAGAGAATTCTCTGAACAATGTCACAGCACAGAATTGAAATATCATATTACTCAGATAAGGAAAAGGCAGGACAGGACATAATGTAATGGTCTTATTGGCATCATCATTGAACACAGCACAAAAACTATTATGAAACTCCCAAAATGGCCCAGGCTGTAGGATATGATGGTTTAAAAGTATTTAAAAAAAAAAAGTTGAATAGTTGAATTTGCTTTTATGCAAGTTTGATCACTTATTAAATTATGTAAGACAGACCTAAGTAAAACTGTACAGTCAAGAAAGGAATTATTTATCTGATAAATTACCTGAAAAAGGCATTTCTGCTATCATGGGATTTTTCCAACAGATGCAATTTATAACTCCAGTACTATCATCCACTGCAAAAGAATTGCAAGAATTACAGAGTAAGAAAGCAAGTAGTCATGTTCCAAGAAGTGAAGGTACAGTGATATGTAAGGAGACAACTGCCAAGGATATCTCGTTCCAACCAGTTAGAAAGGGAAAGTGGGTGCCCAATCCCTACTTACACCTCTGAAATAATTTCCACAGTTGTTTCAGTCATGGAAGTAGCTCAACACCAGATGTGCTTATGTGCATGGTCAGCAAAGTAACAGGTATATTCTCAAAGAAAGATTAAACACTAATTTAAATGAAGAGGCTTCAGTACACATATTGGATACCAAAGGGTTTTAATCTCATTGAGAAGGTCAGAAGAAGAATCAGTGTTGAAAGCTGAAGCCAGACAAATTAAAACAGGAAACCAGGCACAAACCACAGAAGCATTACTGTTACAGTGAGAAAAACAGCACTTCAACATTGGAGCATACAACCACATGAACAAACCAGAAGTGCTGCTACCTCCAGCTGCATTGGTTTCTATGCTAATACTGTGCACAAAGTCTGCTGGTCTTTCCCATACAGGAAGATGTCCAGAGAGCAGAAAGGCAGTTCCTCTAGCCAGGAAGGACAGAAGACAGCACGTGCTTGTGGTTCTGCTCTAGGCCAGGAATTCCCAACCTAAAGTACAGGTACTGGTGGCATGCATGCCACTTCCCTTGCTGAAAAAGCTGAGCACCTTCTCCTGAGCACAGGAGCTATCCAGCTTTTCCTGTTTTGCTAGTAGCCAATCAAAATAAGTTTTATGGTTTCTGCCCCAGGCACTGCATTGTCAATGACAGCAGAAAAAGACAAAACACACAGGAAACTAAAAACTATCTGAAGAATCAATTGTTCTAAGATCAAACCACTGTATGTAGATGGCCTGTCCAAAAAACACTCTCCAAATAGAAAGGCACTAAATGTCTGTCAAGGATCATCCAGCCAACTGTCCAAGCACCTTTCTTCTTCCATGTAACCATCTCCAAGACTGAGATTCCTCACAAATGGAAATCTGCAATTTTCTTCTGCTTCTTAAACCAGAATCATGACTAAAAAAGTAACTGCAGTGTTTACCAGGAAGGTGCTGATTGCTACCTGCAGTCACTTCCTCTGGGAACCATAGCATCAAAGCAAAATGCCTTTGCATTGTCTGACGTGTTTTGAAACAATCTCCCTATTTGGGGGGTCTAATTTCAAATCATTGTCTTGCCTTCCTGTTTCCCAGTAGTTTAGCTGCACATTCCTATTAACAAACATACAGCATTTATAAGAAGCAGGCAATTCCAAATTCCATCCCAAAAGTATGCTCATCTCTGCTATATCCCTCTTGAGCTGCTCTGGCTGCAACTATTTAGCAGCTTTAATTTTGTACTAGAGCACAGATAATAATCTAGCCGGTAGGATTTCCTCTCCTTGGTACAGAAAGAGAACAACTCTTTCAGAAGGAGTCAGAACTCACATAAACCATGCCAAGTCAGCAATGAGAAACAGGGCAGATGACATTTCACTGTTATGTTCCTGCAGCTTCTAGATGTTGCAGCTTGCGACTGGCTGGTGCACCAACCGAGACAGACATGTTTCCTAAGAAGTGCTTGGAAACAAATCAAACAAGACTGATGGATTAGGAGGCTAGACTCCTCCTCCTCCTCAATATAACAGCTGAAAATGGTGTTCTGGAGAGATTGACCTGTACTTGACCACACAGAGAATCTGGTAGCAGAACAATGTTCTGAAACAAAGTTTTGACAGTTCAGAGATAAAAGCTTTGAGCAAAAAGACAAGTAACTCCTGAAGCACAGATGAATGAGAACTCTTGCTATTGTATTCTAATTAGACAGGAGCATGTTAATCTATTTTAAATGCACTCAAGGGGTCTACAAGCTTTTGAAAACTTCCTGTGCTCCCTGTGCTGCCCTTCCTCATGTCTTTGGGTTTAAATTTTTGTTTATTTGGGTTTTTTGTGGGCTTGCTTTTTGTTTTGTTTTGGGGTTTTTTTCTGATTTTTGTTTGTTTGGGTTTGGTGGTTTTTACTTACTTATTTGAGTGGTAGCACTCTCAAGATAATTGTGTTTGCTTTTATTTCTTTATGATAAAAAGGGCATGGTTCTTGTAAGGCCTGCATGAATCTATTCAGATCCTGGTGAGATTTTATGCACTTGTTTTTAAGGCAAGTGTGTTTCAGCCTTTCAAATGAGTTCTGGAGTATATGGAAAACCACATGTGATGTTTGGTTTCATTAAAAAGAAAAGTTGAAAAAAAAAGAGGTCAGAAAGGTGCGTTAGCTAAAATATGAGCTTGGCCTAAGCTACATTTTAATTAGATATCCTTCTAACTGATCATAATAATAGCAATAAACAATCAAATCAAAATGTCAAAATCAGGGTTTAGATAGCATGCATTTTTTGTTTTTTAAGCCAGGAAAGAGTCAATTTCCTCTCTTCTACCATGATTATTTTGTCACCAGTTCTGGCTGTATGGTTTTCAGCAGAGAGGACCTGAGATTCTTTAAAGCGAGCAGTGTGCATTCTGACACAGGCAGATAGGAAATGCTGGGGGGGGATCATGTCAGAGACACAAAGGCATTTCAGTTCCCTATCAGACAAAAAGTACAAAGGGGGAATTGCTCTGTAAGCCACTTCTAAGCACATGGAAAGTGAGTAAGTCCTGAGCAGTGTGCAGCACTCCATCTGATGCAATGCCTGCTCCGTGACTCACCACCCAGAGCCTGTGGAACTCAGAGATGCAAGAAGTTACAAGCAGGAAACTGTCTAAGAAGTTACAATTTACCATAGGCCTGAAAGGCAGTGCAGGCTCGGGAGGGGCACCCTGGCAGATAGCCTAAAAGCTCAAACCAGGAACTGCTGGAACAGAGTTGGATGTGGAAGGACAGCAGGAAGCCAAACTCACCAAGCTGCACTTAAAGGTCAGCTGATCTAACACTAAGGCCTTAATTCCACTACTTTGCAGTTTCTTTTTCTGTTCTTCCATTTTCTGTCCCAGTCAAACATTTTCAATAAGTTTATATCTGAACTAATGCTGAGAGCAGCATGGGAAACCTTACCCATAGAATTGTTCTTGTCTTGGTCATTTTGATTCTGTCTTCCTCTGTTCTCATGAAGTGGTAACTGCATTTGCATACTAGTGCAATAAAAAAATAATAGCTGATACTCAGTTTACATTTCAACACCTCATTACATCATCAAGTACGTCTCCACTTCTTAACTTAGCTGCTTGTTTACCCTGTGCTACTTTGAGTCTCAGAGAATCTTGTGCTTCAAAGTATTTCCTGGCAGCTCATTATTTAGCAGAACAGAAAGACAATAACAAACATTCAGGAATTCAACTTAAGAAACCCAAAATGTAGAAAACATCCACTCTGAGAGACCTGCAAGGAGAGTACAGAGTCACCTCTGAGCAGCCGCACCCAGTGCAGGGTATGCTGTGTGCACCAGCAGTCAATGCTGCTCTGCAGCAATATGTTGCAAGTGCAGGTGCTGTGGAATCTGGGACCTGGTTAAGCTGTCAGATATATCTTCACAATACTCCTGTGTGTCAGCAAACTGCTGCCGACTCAATTTTATAAGTGAGGGAATTGGTTAAGGAGAGGCACTCTATGACTCCATCAAGTGGAAACCCACAGCAGAGGAAGACACTGGGCACAAGGGCTTCAATAGGATCTGTGTGTTTGGCTTCCTGTTCCTACTGTGAGGTGACCTCCCCCACCTTTTGAAACTTGCCACATCACCACTCCTCCACTCTGCTTTTCCTCCAGATGAAAAAGACAGCTGAACAAAATGACAGTCAGATGTTCCCATGTTAATAAAACTGTCTGAACACTGGGAAAAGCAATAGGGAGGAGACAACTTCCAGCTGGTGTTGGCAAGGATTGGTATTATGATGCTTGAGTTAGATTTGCTAAGACTTCTGTGCACCTAAACATAAACAAGCTCCTGACTGCTATTAAAGGCTGGCTCCAAGATACAACAAAACATATAAAAAGTCAGAAAGAATTCCTATGGTTCCAAAAAGGAAGAAGTGCTTTCCCATTTGCAGGCACTGTTAAATCTCTCTCTATCCGACCAAAGGAACTGCACATGCATGTGAAGAAAGTGGTGGAATACAGTGACAAAGCAACAAACAAAATCAAAATTTTCTATACGACCCCAAAACAATCAGTTACTCTGTTTTAACGACTTGATTCTCTACTTTTGGAGATGAACAGTAGCTTCCCTAGGTCTGCCAAGTAATCTGAGCTGCAGATATACATAATATTAGGATCAAAACATGGTTGTTTCAAGAACAGACAATGATCAAATAATGAAACCTTTCAGTTCTAAAAGTAACTAAGATTAGAGGGCTGGTAAGTGCAAGAAGAAAGAAAGGAAGACACTTTTCTTACCTCCATAATTATAAAAGGCATCTCTCTCCTTCGTTAGAACCACTATCCCAACGACATCCACCTGCCTTATTGGATGTCCATTATAAAAGAATATACCTAGGCACAGAACATAATTGATAAGTGAAATTATTTCTTTCAACATCCTACCCTACATAGTCATATTTGTCAGTAAAAACTATACTTTCTTACATATTTAATGTATCTTAAATTATACAATGCCTAGTCACATGAAAAATCCCCTGGATCACTGAGGATTAGGAGGACTAAAATCAAAAAGTATCAGCTCTACTTAAGATACCAAAAACTAGCTTTTGTAGAGTGTCAGAACTTTATTAACCTCCTGTTTCCTTGCATGTTTGGATGTGAAAATCAGTTGGTTTGCTGCAGGCATTAAGGGGTTTTTTACATTTTTGTTTTGCTGTTTCATTTGAGTTTTTGTTTTGTTTTGCTTTGTTGTTTGCTTTGGGGTTTTTTTAATATATCTTCATCAGCCTTCAGAATAAATAATAGAACACAAAGGAAGCAGTTTGAGCTTCTCACAATGCAGCTGTTCCTGATTAAGGCAGAGCCTCCAAAAGGAAAACTAACATAATTCTGTCTTTCATTTCTAGAAGAACAGGAGCCATGGGGGCAGGGGGAAAGAAACAACCCTCTCAGACTGCGGAGTACACTAGTGCAGTCATTGTGGACTGCATCCTGAACTGCAGTTTATGAAATAACACGTTCTAAAAACATCCCTTCAAAGCTATTTTTGTGTATCTACAAAGATAACTTGAATAACACATGCAAACATGTCCAGGAAACTGTGAGAAATCAGAGCCCAGTGGACTCTGACAGAGCTGAAGTTGCCTCATTCTATAAGTCCTTTCAAGAGAGTGACAAATGTTAACAAACACCAATGTAAACATTATACACTGAGGCTTCACAGTCCACTAGCAGGAGGATAATAGGGCAATAAGCTCCAGCTATACCCTGGGCTGGCTAGTTTTCAGTGAATGAGTTTTCTTCAGTTTTTGAACACTGCTTTACTGAAATATGCCATCTGGGATGTTCAATAACTGTCTTCTGAAAACTAGATAACTCGAGGGACTCAGAAAGGAACATTTGGCTCCAAACACTGTGGCAAGTGTTATTCTTACAAAG